AATTGAACCTAAATGAGAAACAAATAATAATTTATACTTTAAATTCACACTTACATTTCGATCAGCTGTTGAATCGTACATAAATAAAAAAAATAGTTTATATTTTAATTTGATACTTACATTTCGATAAATTGTTGAACTGAACCTAAATAAAAAATAATCATTTATATTTTAAATTGATACTTACGTTTCGGTAAATTGTCGAATTGAACCTAAATAAAAAAGAAAGAAAAATTTATATTTTAAATTCATACTTACATTTTGATACATTATTGAATCGAACCTACATAAAAAAAATAATCATTTATATTTTAAATTGATACCTACATTTTGATAAGTTGTTGAATGGAACTTAAATAAAAAAATAATAATTTATATTTTAACGTGATAATCACATGTCGAAAAGCTGTTGGATCGAACCTAAATAAAAAAATAGTTCTGTTTAATGCTTTGAGTATCAGTTATGACGATTAATGAAAGGCTTTGGATTGGTGTCTTTTGGTGCAAAACTGAAAAAAGACAGATTGAAAAATCAAGCTAGAACTGAATATTAATGGCTTATACGGAAGCGAAAATAGTTAAATCAATGTACAATTTTCTCAATAGTTCGAAGAACACTTCTAACACGTCGACTGGGCAGAATCTAACGAGGGAACATTCCCAAGTGTCAAATCGCTTTTGAGTCGAGAGTAAGAACATAAGGTAGACCTCAGTAAGATATGAAAAACCTCAAAATGATAGGTGCCCTTAGGTCTTCTGTCCAGAGTTATAGGCATTTTACTGAAATTTTAGCCTCTACCATTATAAATACCAATAAATCGAATAGTGGTATTTCGACCTAAGATTTTGCCCACAGATAGGTCTAATTGTGAATAGGACACCCTGAAAATTTCAGCTCAAAAGAATGTTTCCTTCCCGAAATATTAAAGTCTCAAAAAACAGAAAATTCTAGCATCTTCCGTGATATATGAGTGATTTTTGGAACTTTAATATCTCGAGAAGGAAACATTCTTTTGGGCTGAAATTTTCAGGGTATCCTACTCACAACTAGACTTATCTGTGGACAAAATCTTAGGTCGAAATACCACCATTCGATTTATTAGCATTTACTATGCTAGAGGCTAAAATTTCAGTAAAATGCCTATAACTCTGGACAGAAGACCTAAGGACGCCTATCATTTTTGGATTTTCCACATCTCACTGGGGCCTACCTTATGCTCATACTCGCAACTCAAAAGCAACTTGACACTTGGGAATGTTTCCTCGTGAGTACAATAAAAAGACTCAATAAAACGTAGACTAGTTGATGCGTGTGCTGGGTGCATCCGATAACATATATCTGTAGGCGCAAATAAGATATAGGATTAATATGTACATCAATAACCTACCCAAATAATGAAAGAATGGAATGAACCTCTATGTTACGCACTGAATATAATATCTGTTAACTACGAAGCGGTGCGTATATTGAAAGAAAATATCCAAGAAATCTTTTTATGGTAACTGATGCACTTTCGGTGTTATGAATACATTTACGGTCAATTGTTTTTATAAATTATAATTACTACAAGTAACTGAACAAAACCTTGGGTTAACTGCGGTTAACTGTCGGCTTGGGTTTGGACCATCGGTTAACCGGCAGTTTTTATGCAAACCACCAGTAACCGGCGGTTTCTATAAAAAATAGACGACATGGGAAGAGTCTAACCAGTTCATTGCTAATAATTTGGAAGCGTATTGCATGAAGATCATGTAAAGTGGAAAAGATAAAACAAATAAATAGTTTGTAACAAGAAGTGACACATATATCACACTATCAAGCTATCTTGCTATATACGAGAAAAGTACACGATCAAAATACGATCGTATACAAGCGTCGTTTACGATGGTCGTATTTAGTGGTCGTTTACGGCAATCGTATATAGTCGTATTGCATCGTATACGGCCGTTGTATACAAGCATCGTGTACGGCCATCGTTATTCGTCGTATTTTTTTTGTACACGGTCGTATACGATCGTAGATTTTAAACCTGGGTAATGTGGATCATGTACTATTTGAACAAATCGTTCGTCAATATCAGTAAGTGTATATACATCACCAATATTGAGTTCCTTTGCAATAATGAATAAAATTTCATTCGGCAAATCATGAATATTTAAACATTTGTTATTTAAAATATTCATCTC